TATATCTTTTCCAAGAAAATCCCACGGACCATACATATGATCCAGTACGGTAATGAAGAATCAGACGTGACTGAATTAACTGAATAACTGAACTGTCTATCCAACAGACACTAGAACGTAAGGTCCTTGAGGGCAAGGACTGTTTTTATTTCATGTTTGTTTCTCCAGTGCCCGGCACATGGCAGGCACTGAATAAACACTTGTAGATTTGACCCTTTGAGGATCCTTACAACTCTGAGATTTGGGGATTTTTCTCTTTCCTACCTATTTTTGGGGGCAGTTAGGTGGTACAGTGGATAGAGCGCTGGGCCTGGAGTCGAGAAGACCTGATTTCAAATTAGGCCTCTGACATTTAGTATCCAGGATCTCTTTTCCACCCTGGTACCCTCATCTACTCTCCAAAGCTGGACTTCTAGCCAACAGCACATTGTCATGTGCATATTCAATGTGTCTAAAACTGAACTCCTTTCCCCCACAATTGACTGTCCTTTCCAACTGCCTAATGGTTATGTCAACGTGGCTGTCTCCTCTGCTCTTCAAACCAAGGAGTCCTTTTTCCCAACTTCAATAATTCTACTACAGGCATCAACAGCTCTTCAGAGTCATATTTTATTTTTTTTAGGCAATTGGGGTTCAGTGACTTGCCCAGGGTCACACAGCTAGTAAGTGTCAAATGTTTGGTCTGAGGCCGGATTTGAACTCAGGTCCTCCTGACTTCAGGGCCGGTGCTCTATCCACTGCACCACCTAGCTGCCCCGAGAGTCACATTTTAAACTCTTATCACCACTCAGTCCCTTGCGCTTCGACTACTGCAACCACTTCCCAGTTGGTTTTCCTCCTTCCAGTAATGCATATTTCAAACTGCCACCATTTCCGTCCTCTGAAGATCAGCACCAATCTCATTACCTTCTAATTCAAGAATCTTCACTCTCTGCTCCCTGTATAATGAATCAGGAAAATGCTACAACAATCTAAACTGAAATCAGACACTATGTAATTGTAACAACCAAGCTTGGCCCTAAGAGAAGAGATGGGGAAAATGCACCTCTCCTTCCTTTCACTGTAGAGACATGACTGTGGAACGCTGCCAAAGCTGACAGACTTGTTTACTGAAATGACTTTTCTTCTTTCTAAATTTTTGTTCCAAGGATAAGGAAGAGGAAGAGGGATGTATTTGGAAATTAATGTAATATAAATGCAAAAGGTATCTTTGAAAAAAACTCAAAAGTCTTGCCAAGTGAGTCTGATTACCTTTTAAGTCTCTTCCGTTAGATGTTTTTATGTCAAATGCTCTGCTGACTTTGGTGTCTCTCCCCCGACCCCGACCCCCACAGGAATGCTTTGCACTCTTCTCTTTTTATTGAAAATCCATTTTTCAGTGATATTTATGGGATATGTCACTAAGGAATAAAAACTGCTTTTCTCTGCTTTTAGGGGGAAAATACACCAATTAGTCCTTTTATTTCTCATAAGTAGCAAATACTCTCGCACAATTTGGTTGATTTTTCTTGGCATGTGAAGACTTTCTTCATGGCTGCTTGTAAAATCTACTGTTTAAAGTTGATCGTTTAGAATTGGTCAATATTTCTGAGTGAGATGGACCTGCAGTGTCTCTGCTGGACTTTTCTACCTATCTGAACTTTACACAGTTTCCCAAGGCTTTCAGGTAATTTTCTTACATGATTTTCTAAAATACGATTTTCAGGCTTTTTATTTCATCATGTTTTTCTAAGAGACCAAAAGCTCTCAGATTTTCTCACTGCATGTCCTCTCCAGGATTGGCTGCTTTCCCAACAGAGAGCTCTCTTTATAACAGAGATGCTCAGGTGTTCCCCCAATCTGGCTGTCTCCTGATTTCACTGTTATTCTTCCTAACATCCTTGTGTTTGAGTTCCAAATCTGTTGATCTGGTTTTTGTAGAGAATCTATTAATTCAAAGAAATTCTCTACCATTTGCATTCTAATTGATCTACTCCTCTTATTTGTCTCTGACTTTGGGGAAGGTTATTTCCACCTCAATTTCCATTCTCATTTCTCCCTTTAATTGCTTTGCTGAGTTACTAAGCCATATTCTAAGCAATTTTTGAAGTTCGGAAGGTTGTCATCATTTCTGGGGATCTTTTGATTGCTGAACCATTTTCCCTGACGTAAGGTTTTCCTATAATTTAAAAAATATTATTCATTGTTTTGGAGTCTCGGTTTGGTCTCTCTCTCAGCCTCTGCTGATTTTTGGTGAAGTGTTCCTCTTGATTGGTTTTTGCTGTCCCCTCCAGGAAGCCTGCTATTCTATTATGGTAACCTTCTCACTATTCTGAGATGACAGAGGGGAGACAGGCACTCCGCTTCTCACTCAGCCATCTTCCCAAAAGTCCTAAACATGTTTTGCACCTCTCTGATGTACTTATCATGCATTATTTTCGTATCATAATTATTTGTGCATGTGTCATATCCTCCTACTGCCTACAAAAGCAAGACCCTGGCTTATCGAAAATTTCTATCTCCCCTCACACCTTCTCTGCACACAGGAGGCGTCAAAGAATCTTAGAATCCTTTCTGTCAGCCCTGCCCTTTACCCATGGCCAATATCTTTTGACTGTTCTTTGAGTGTCTGTAGGTTTCATTTTTGCTCTCTTGTCACACTGCCAAAATACTAACTAGTTCATATTTCTATGTCTCTTAACTGGATTACTGCAAAGACCTCTTAATGTCTCTCCCTGAAATCCCTCCTGTACAAAACCACTACATTCAACTTCCTCAAATACTGCTCTAATGTCACTATCATGCTTTAGAAGCTACAATGAATTTTCCACGGCCGAACCAGTTCAGCCCAAATTCCTCAGCTTGGTGTTTGAGGTTTTCCATCAACTAGGTAGACCTGGTTCTGCCCATTTTCTTTTTCACTGCTCTAAAGCACCCAGCTCTACTAACTTCCTGTCCTCCAGGCATCCATCGTAAGCATATTACAGCATCTTCCATTGTTCGTGCTTTTCCACCAGTTTGGGATTCTCCCTGCCTCAGGGGGTGCAGTGGATAAAGTACCAAGCCTGGAGTCAGGAAGATTCCTCTTCATGAGTGCAAATCCAGCCTCAGACACTTACTAGCTGAGTGACCCTGGGCAAGTCACTCCACCCTGTTTGCCTCAGTTTCCTCATCTGTCAAATGGGCTGGAGAAGGATACAGCAAACCACTCCAGCATCTTTGCCAAGAAAACCTCAAGTGGGGTCACAAAGTCAAACACGACTGAAAAATAACTGAGCAACATTTCTTGGATACCAAAACGAACAAAACCTGCATAGACTGCTCTTTTTCTAGCCCAGGTGATAATTGTGACCCACTGAATTCCTACTGCACTCACAGGCGGTCATGTCTCCTTTAGCTGTTCCCCATGTGTGCTTACCTCCCTGACCAGAACGCAAACTTCTCAGGGCAAGGGAACTGGCCTTCAACATTTAAAAATCTCCCACAGTGCTTAAAACTGGGTAGAGACCACTTCGGATCACTTACTCCATGCCTGTTAATTAAATACATGCTTGCACTGCTCTTCTTACAGCAGGCAAGGGAGTCAAAGGATAGAGTGTCCTGTTCGACAAGTTGGGCAGGTTTAGTTTGGGGGCTGCCTGCCTCCCCTCAAATGAAGTCATAATCTGATGAGTAAAAGGCAAACAGTCACGGTATACAAGCTGTTGGTGGGAAAGCATGCACTGTCCTAACCCCAAAGCAGCCAGCGGGCAACTACAACCCACACCCCCAAATCCAAAGCAATACCAATAGAAAAATTTCCCAGTGCACACAAATCCTATTAATGTAACACAAGGCAACAGAAATGACGCCAGCTCTGATAAGGAAACAACAAAGTCCCACGACTTAACCCTGTATCATCAAAGTATGCCTATGATCTTCTCCCATGAGGCTGCTCAGACCCAAAGTATCAAGCCGGCCCCAACTGACTTGTGTTCCTTTGTTTTCTAATCAACGTGTTTCTGCAAAAGGAAACGTTTGCTCTGTTAATGCAAACGCGGACTTCAGAAAGTTCTCTAAGGGGAGCCCAGCTCCACAGCTGTCTGTTTCAGCACCCAATCCTGCTCTGCTACGGTAAAAGGGACTCGAACACAGCTCTGCGTCACCCGCCTACGAGGCAGCCCAGTATCTGAGGTCTGAAAAGGAAGAAGCAAGTGGGAACTTGTGGGCAGGATGCACTCACTGAGTCACTGCTGGGAAGCAGCCAAGTGAGGGGTACAGGACAAGCTGGATTGTCGGGGTTACCAGTTCTCCCAGTAACACGTGTACATGTATGCACCCACTAATTTCAGAAAACACCATGAGTCTAAGAACAAGCAGCTGCAAACTACACCACAGCTCCACGGTTTCTAAATAACTATGGTACAGAACTGATAGGCAACCTTGACTATCAGCTAGGTTCAGTGACGACAGATGAGAGGAATTTTTTTTTCAGGTTTCAGGTTTTGTGTTTTTTTTTTTAATTAGGCTACCCAATTATAAAAGTCTTCTCGTCCAGTGGTAATTTCAGGGAAATGCTCTTAGTGGATTAGTGAACATGTATACATAGCAAAGATCAAAGCTACTGCATTATAAACAGGCACTTTGTTCATTACTTTGACAAAGAGAGTTACGCTCTACTCATAAGATAGCTTTTATTTGCCCTACAAAGTGCAAGCAGAGGGTGTAACTTAAAACAAATGATGACTCTGCTCTACCAAGACAGTCCGAGTGTTCAAAGCATCATGCACCTTTTCAGGACGGAGTATCTCTGAATTTTAAAGTCAAGCATTAAAGATTCCACTTGAAGTGTCTGTTCGTATGACAGATCTTTTCCATATTTTTAATCTCTACTTCAACAACGCTCACGTTTGCTTAAGACCCACAGGTAAATTGCTCTGACAAACCTACACTGCACTAAATCTTCACCACGCCTGCTACCTTGCTTTTGTTCAAGACAATCTTTTTAACGGAGAGTATAAAAGTGGTAACATTGTACATACCCTTTTAATAACATGAACAAAATACTCTGTTGAGTGCAGATATATTCAACGGTGGGAGTTCTTGTACCAATTTGTCTTCTGAGGATGTTGTTGAAAATTTGGGCCACATCTTTTTTGCCCTGTTAGAAATACAATTAATTACGCATTTACCTAACTAAATATGTTTAATACCAAAACCCACGAGAGAAGCTATCTTTATGGCAGAGAACGACCACTCCCTTAGCATTTCAAGGATCCACTCACACAGACTATGGAGCCGTTCTTCAATGACTAAGGAGAGGGTCTTTGCGTGCTGCTGTCGGCACCTTGGAGATGACCTTCTCCCCTCTTACCAGGGTCCATCTTCCCGCAAAAGACACTGAACCCGGACCAGGAGGGGCCCAGGAGACTCTGTGATCAGCTGGAGCAGTCTCTGAGAACTCAGGGCCCCTTCCAAAGCACAATAAGCCACCAGAGCAGGACCCTAGTCCTAGTTACTCAGGTAAATCAGTAGCTGGCTTTAAAATGTTCACAGCTACTTCTTAATTTCTTTCAAATATTTCATTTCCTTCCCCAGAATCCCACTCCCCATCAGGGAACAGCGCTAGCCTGGCTCTGGAAAGATCCTATCAAGTCTAAAGAGCTAAAGCGCTGGCCCAGCCCACATCTGCTCTCTGCAGACCGCTCAAGTCCATAGAGGCTCTGTGGGAACACAGCTCTGCTATGGCCAATAACCCATATGGATAAAAATACAAAACAATGCCTAAGGGATGGGAAAAGGGGCAAAGGGAGCTAAGAATCCTAGTTTTTTGATTGCCGAACTGAATTCTGTCTGTGTGTGTGTGTGTGTGTGTGTGTGTGTGTGTGTGTGTGTGTGTGTGTGTGTGTTTACTGACATTCTTGCTATCAGTGAAACCAGTAGAGATGTAAAGAACTGTCACTAAATGGAAGGATACACTGAAGGTTTGAGGAGGACTGAATAAATTTCATCACATGTCCAAAGGCAACAAGAAACAATTTTATGGGATATTCCTTCATCTTGCCCTGCAATATTCAAAATGATCACCCACCAACATCTGCTGCAAAAAGAAGTGGGCAAAAAAAAAAATCTATGCAGAACTTATTGAGAATAAGCTCAGGCTGCTTACTCGTCATTGTACTGGAAGGTCAAAAGTGGTCAGAAATGTCTTTTGGGGTGGAGAAGAATGAGAGCTGTAACACAGTAGGGCTCCAGAAAGGAGGGAACAAAACGGCTCACGGAGGGTTGGTCTCAAAGAGATGTAAGGAGACCGTAATAAAGCAATCAGCTGCCCCCTGTACGTCCAAGGTGGGCCTAGAAGAGGAAGTCAAGATGAGTTACATCCGAGGGCACCAAAAGAACTGACCAACGCAACCGCTGAGGGACTTGAAGTCACGAGTGCTTTGCTTTCTTCTTGTCACGGGCCCCTCTGGCAATCTGGTAAAGCCCATGGACACCTTTTCAGAATGTTTTGAAATGCTTAAAATAAAATAATCAGGAATTATGAAGGAAGACAATTATATTGAAATAACGTTTTTTAAAAGACAAGTTCTCAGACTCCAGCTTAAGAATTCCTGACCTAAGCCATCCCCAAGAGCTCACAGAGATCAGAAAGATACTAATCGTCAAGACGACAAAAACGAGAGGGGAATGGAATCTTCCTACTAGAGTCCCAGGATCTGGATTTTGATTACTAGCAAAATTCTGGACTATGTCATTAAAGAGATGGTTAGTGCACTTCTAGAAAAGAAAGCAGGTGTCACAAAGAGCCAACTCCATCAAGAACAGATCATACCGCACTAATGTGATTTCCTTTTTTGACAGGATTGTAGGTTATCAGGGAAATGTGGCAGATCACGTCTAAGTAGAATTTAATAAGCACTTGGCAAAATATCTACACTTTCCCTGTGAAAAAGAAAGAGAAATTTAAACTAGAAAAGAGTAGAATACGGTGGATTTGGAACTGGTTGAACATACAACTCAAAAAATAAGCAATAACAATTTAAAAGCCGCTGGGAAAATGCTCTCCAGTGGAATGTGGATCTCCTCTGTGTCAGCTCTATGGGGCTTAGCATCTTATCTATGGCTTGAAGGCACTGAGAGCTTATCAAACGTATGGATGACGCAAAGGTGAGAGTGAAAGCTGCCATGTTGGCTGTCAAAGGAGCGGGTCCCTTCACTGAAAGATGTAATCAGAAAACTCAGCAGTGGGGACCTGACAGCGAAGAAAGAGAAGGCAGTGTTAGCCTGGGGCTGGAGGGTACAGCACCAAGAAGAAGCTTTAGGCCACCCCGGTCAGCTCACCTCTAGATTTTAGGAAGAACACTGAGGAGATAGAGAGCACACAGAGGAAGGCAATCAGGATGGCAAGGTGACTTGAGATCCTGCAACATGAAGCTCATGTGGAGGAACATAGAATGTTTAAGCTGAGAAAGACTTCTTCAGATATCTGAAGGGCCACTCTGTGGAAGAGGGAAAGGCCTCTTCTCTGTGATCTTAGAAGTCAAAGGCAGGGGCAATGGGTGGAGAAGAGGCACTTCAGGGTTGGACAAAAGGAAGAGCATCCTACCAGAGCTACTCAGAGTGGCACGGACTGACCTGGCAGGGAGGGGATTCTCTTCCCCTGGGAGCCTCTGGTAAAGACTGGACGGTCACTCTGCAAGGGATGGTGCACAAGTCATTGGTGTCTGACCACAGACTGGACAAGATCAAGGATTCTTAGCCTTCGTGTGTGTGTGTGTGTGTGTGTGTGTGTGTGTGTGTGTGTGTGAGTGATGGACCCCTCTGGCAGTGTGGGGAAGCCTCCAGACCCATTCTCAGAAAGATGTTTTTTAAATGCATAAAATAAAATACGGAGGATTACAAAGAAACCCAATTATATTGAAATATAGTTATCAAAAAAAAAAAAGGTCACAAACTCAGTTCAGAATCCCTGGTCTAGATGGTTTCCAAGGTTCCTTCCAACTGAGATTCTGTGAATGAACACTGGGCCAGACTCACTAAGATGGGATTCCACAGGGATAGATTCCACTGAGGTTCAAAAAGTCAGCTCCAGCTGCACAAAAGAGGGAAGAGCAATTTTTCTGAAAATAATCTTGAGGCTTTAGATGACAAGTAAAGTCAACAGTGTGATACAGTAACCAGAAAAGCTAACAGGATCTTAAGCTTCAGTAAGAGCCAGGACTCACTGCTCACAAGCAATCTCAAAGGAAAAGATTGCAAAGAAATGAAAAAGGCCACGGGGGAGACTTTGAACCAAGCATCAGTAACTTCTGAGGCCTAGGTCTTTCTCCCATCACCTTTATGAGAACAGTCTAAGCATGCAATGAAGAGGTCTGCAATGAAAACATGAGAAGAGATTAGGCAGACTTTCACAGACAATTTCCCAGAGACTAAATGAAGTACAGAGAATATTAGATCTTGCTATGTGAACTGTCTGCTAACTTTTAAAAACACATTCAATACAATAAAACTCGTGCTTCGAAGGCTCTCCTCAAACAAGGCGTCTCCTGGGCCTTTTAGGATCACACAGAATTCTATGACTGACATGACAATGGGAGAGAATTGTCAAAGTTTCCCACTTCAGCTTCCTATTCAACTGAGAGAAAGACAGACAGAAAGACAGAGAAAGAGAGACAGAGACAGTGATAGAGAATGAATGAAAATCTGTGTGTGAGAAGTGAGGCTGGAAGAGCCAGAGCCTGATTTTGCACTTGGGACCTTCAGATGCTTGGTTAAGAAATCTTTTTAAACCTAGACTATCCAACTAGGGAGACAATGAGGATGACACAGTTAGATCAGCACGCTTATTATTCATTATTAGGATGATTCTAGAACTGTGCAAAAGATAATTTGGCGACAAGGGAAAAAACAGAAGGCAGAGAGACCAGTCTGGAAGCTACGGCAGGAGATGCAGGCCTGAATCAGCACTGTAGGAGGTACAGCAGAGGACAGATACAAGAGATGCAGCCCAGGTGGTAGAAGTGACAGAAGTTGGCAGCAGACTGCCTGGACTGCAGGAAGGAACATCAGGGGCTTTGAAACGGGACAAAGGTGGTGTCAGCAGCGAATGGAAGCTAGGAGGAAAGTCAGTTGGGCTTTGGTAGCCACGCAGAACTAGAATTCAGGAGACAGCCCCTATGCAGAGGTGACGAGTGGGCAACGTCGCCCAAAGAACACGCCCTGGGGGGGTGGGGCCAAGCCCAGTGTTCGAGGTCGGAGCATACCAAGGGCTCCAAGAGACACCAGGTCCTCCTCTCATAAAACTTCCCACTTCTCTCTAACTTGGGACCCTGTCTTCATTCCTACTTGCCAGAATCTACCTAAGTCTTTTCTCTCTGTTTTAGACCAAGTTTTCAAAAGGAAGGCCACCATCTTTCCTTCAGGTAAGCTTGGGACCACGTAATTTCTCGTGATTCCGTGTAGTACGCTGCACACGCAACTGGCTACTTCACAAATGAAATCTACGCTGTCATAGGACACAGAATAATGAAGAAAGGCCCTGTTGGAACAGGCAGAGAGCAGGGGCCGTGAGCTCCATCCAGTCCTGGCTCCATCCCTAACAAGTGCAGCATGGGCTTATCTAGTTTGGAAAAGATGCAGAGAAATTACAAACTCCCAGCTTCCCCCCTCAGCTATGTTCTTGTGAGATATGCGGAGAAAACTGGAAGAGGTCTACGGGAAGTGTGCTGTACTTACCTCAAAATCAATGAGCTGTAAATCGGCTACTAGCGTGCTGAGGAGGCCACTGTTGTAGAGCTCCTGAGCGAGCTGGGCCACAGCCTCCGTCTGCGGCTCTTTCTCATTGGTGCCGTACAAGATTTCCTTCATGGCAACCAGGTTTTTGGAAACCTCTTCTGTGGCCTGATGAAACAAGAGATACACACAGTGAGTATTCCCACCACTTTCAAAGGGTTTTTTTTTTTAACAGATGCAAGAAAGTTTTGTGAAAACACCAAATTTCCCCAACAGCCTATGAATTTTAACATAGTTTAATCTGGGGAAAGAGGCTAAATTTCTTTAAATAAACTCTAATCTGAGTCAGATCAAAACCAACTTACAAGGAAAATACAATACCAGGAGTCTGAAGGGCAGATACATGCCCTAGTCTTTAAAATGATGTTACTTCATCACTCACTGAATGACACAACAAATCTCTTTAAAGGACACCTCCTTGAGACAGTAGCTTGGCCCATCCCTCCCTAATGGAGTGGCTTTCAAACTGGCAGAACGTGGCAATCCCTTTGGCAGGTTTCTAATACAATCTATTCAGCTTTAAACGGCTGAGACTTGAAATAACAGCACTTTTCTTGAACTTTTAGATACTACAAATATTTAGCTCCAAGCTCTTTAGTTCTCCAAATAGACATCCAGAAATTCTCCTGACAACTAAGTGTTTTTCTGCTACAGAAGTTTTCCTAAAAGCAAAAACAGACCCAATTTATTCTGCACTCAGGTGTCACTTCCCAGGAGCAGACACACGGCTCACCATCTTGCCTCGAGACATTCTATTAGCCATTATTTCCAAAGGATGGGTAGAGCAAGGAAAGGAGATAACTCTAAAATCAGTTGTTCTTTACCAGTAATTTCAGTAAAGGATTTGGTGGGAGGGAGATGTCAAACAAATTGTTAAAATGATGTCTGGGAGTGCCGGTGTCTAGAGTCAACACCCAGCACATTCCTGAATCACTGAGGTACCTCAGTTCACACAGCTAGTCCTGCCAGAGGGGGTGCCTGAAGCTGGGTCTCCCTGATCTGAGTGTATCACATGGGCTTTCCTTTCCATCTGCCACACCATTTCTCTCCCAGCCTACCATCACCCACTTAAAAGAAGTGTTACAAAACCACGGATGGGTAGAAATGTTATTAAACAGAGTCATATTTCCATGATTTCCCACACAAAAAGCAGGACAAAGCTCTCACTAAGCTGTAATTCTCTGCCTAGAATGAGAGGGGCAGTCCTCTGTTCAGCTTACAGTTTGTCAACATAAAGCTCTTATGATAACAATGTGCTTATTCTTATTCTGCCAGGCATGCAGATGAAGAGAATGCTGGGCTTGGATCCGGAAGACCTGAGTTTGAATCCTGCCTCAGACTGTGTGACCCTAGGGCAAGTCATTTAATCTCTCAATCTCAGTTTCCCTATCTGTAAAATGGGGATAATAATAGCACCTTTCTCATAGGGTTGTTGTGTGGATCAAATGGGTTAACACAAGTAAAATGCTTTGCGAACCTTACAACGCTATATTAAATACTAGCTACTGTTACTGCTAGGATTATTTTTGGAACAAAACTTGTCTCTGCTCCTCATCTATGATCTCTACCACCTACCAGCAAGCACTGCCGAACTCTGGATCTCGCCATAAGGCCCTGCCCTGCGCCACCCCCCCCCCCGCCCCAGGGTGCCTGCCCCCCCCCCATGGCGCCGACCCCAGCTCCATTCCCTGCCCTCTCTCGGGGCTGCCAAGCCTTGCGACTTCCACCAGGCCCTCCTGGGTCAGCAGCAGCCTCAGGCGTATCCTCACAAACGCCTCAAACTTCCTCATTCCCCTCAATTTTCTGGCCAGATCATTATGGTTTTGATCTGGATGGAGTCATGGAATTGTGCTTGTCTGGCCCAATACAGATTTTTTTAAAATAACATAACTTATTTTATTTTACTTTTTTTCAATTAACAAGCACTTATTTTTTTCTCTCTTAACTTCCCATCCCTCCCTCCCAATTGAAAAAAAAAAAAAGAAAAATTCTTCTAATAGATATGGATAGACAAGCAAGCCGCCCAAATCCCTGCACTGGCCACGTCCCACACCAGACAGCTCCTTCTGCACCCTGAGCCCATCACTTCCATCAGGTGCTATTTCATCATCTGGCCTCTGGCAACATAGCTCCTCAGTGAACTGACTGGAGTTCTTCAGTCTTTCAAAGTTACTTGTCTTCATAACGCTGTTGTTACCATATAAACTCTTTTCCTGGCTTTGCTCATGTCGCTCTGCGTCTGTTCATATGAGGCCTCCCCAGTTTCCCTGAAATCAGCCCCCTCACCATTTTTCATGGCACATTTGGGTGACTTTTCAGGCATATCTCCAAACTGCTTTCCCAAAAAGCCAGACCTATTCACAGCTCTCCCAAAGTGCAGTTTTCCCACAGCCTCTCAACATTTGTCCTTTTTCTTTTCTTTTCTTTTTTTGTTGTTTGTTTTTGGTGAGGCAACTGGGGTTAAGTGACTTGCCCAGAGTCACACAGCTAGTGAGTGTTATGTGTCTGAGGCCAGATTTGAACTCAGGCCCTCCTGACTCCAGGGCCAGTGGGCTATCCACTCTGCCACCTAGCTGCTCCTGCCCTCTTTCTTTGTAGTCATCTTTGCTAGTCTGACAGGTGTAAGACACAAATGGCCAATCCCTGTTCTCACAGAGTTCACAATCTAATGGAAAGAACCTTGAAGGAGACACACACATTACCATCCCCTTTTCTGCTGCACCCTAAAGACTGTGGGGGCTTATCCATTTGACAGGTAGCTCTGTGCTGTCTCCCCACATTAGAACGTGAGCCCCTTGAAAGCAGGAGCTGGACTACTTCTCCACCTGTGTTCCCAGTGCTTAATAAATGCGTTTTCATGCACACATCCACCTTTATATCCAAATACTCAACAACAGCTTATTAAGTACTCCTGGGCTCCAGGCACTCCACCAGGCACTGGGGACACACAGGCCACGTGAGAGCTTGGGGTCTCACAGTGGGAACAACACACACACACACACACACACACATTTTGTTGAGTTGTTTTTCAATCATATCCAACTCACTGTGACACCATCTGGAGTTTTCTTGGCAAAGGTACTGGAGTAATTTGTCATTTCCTTCTCCAGCTCATTTGACAGATGAGGAAACTGAGGCAAACGGGGTTCAGTGACTTGCCCAGGGTCACAGAGCTAGGAAGTGTCTGAGGCCAGATTTGAACTCAGGAAGATGAGTCATCCTGGCCCCCGGCCTGGCACTGCATACACAATGGCACCAAACTATTTCCTCTTCTTCATTTTAATTCCCCTCCCCTGGATACCTTCTCCAGGAAGTTCTGAAAAGTTACTTCATAGATAACTTTGAATATAGAAGCCATTTGAACCAACGTCTGTCTTTCTGTGCCTGTTTTCCTCTTTCAAAAAAATACTTTCCTCATCCATTGGCCAGGTAGGTCTTCCAATGAACAATGATTACAAATAAACTATTACCTGTAAAGTAACCCTACACGCTAACCATCAAACTGCATTCAGGGGACAGCATTTCCATAAAGCCTTCCCAGACCCTGAGCTCTAGAAGGGAGCTCCACAAACCATCTGGCCCAATGAGTTCCTAACCAGGAATACCCTCTATACCTGCTCCACAATGCTCCCCAGTGCGGCAGAGCCAGATTAAAATGGAATTGGGAAACAGGTAATAAAATAGATAAATAGACACTAGACCACAGATGATGTTAACACAAGGTCTTCTAAGTCAATAAGCAGCCGTCGGGGATCTGGAGGTAGGGGTGAGTGGCCCCACTGCTGCTCTGCGCACAACCTAAAGTGCTCACCAGCCTCTGCTCTGAAGACCTCCAGGGAATCCACTCACTTCTGGAGCAACCCACTGTTACTTGTGGACAGCTGTCAGGATCATTTCCCTCCTAACTAAAATTTCTGAAGACTTTTTTTTCTGAGTTAAAACAATAAAGAACAACACAAGGACAGACCTCAAAGACTGATTCAGGGATAGGGACTAGACCTGCGATTTCATTTGTATAGGGAGAAAAGGAAATCCCCCCAGCAATTCGAGAAAGTAGTGTCAAACTCTAATGATCTCTGCCGGCCACATGGTGATTTAAAAAACTACAAGTTAACATTACCTAAGTTGTATGTATTTTTATTTATTTTGTCAAACACCTCCCAGTTACATTTTAGTCCTGAGTTTGATACCTCTGGCCTAGAACACTGAGAGATCAGGTGACTTGGCCCCCTACCCCTGAAGTCATCAACTCCAGGGTCACACAGCTGTAGCTGGCAGAGGTGAGACTAGAAGCCAAGGCTTCCAAGTTGACTGGCTCTTTATCTGCTATGCCAGCCACCTCTCAGTAACCATTAATTTACTCTTATTAACTGAATCTGGGGAAATGAATAGAAAAACACTGGTAAATACTTAATATGTGTGGAATGCTGTGCTAAGTGCTGGGAATAAAAATACAAAAGCAAAACCCAACGAATTTATCTAAGTCAATGAAACTGAATAAATCAAGTAAATTGAGCACCTCCTCTGTCTGAGACATTGTGCTAAGAGCTGACAAAATAAAAAGCCTGAGACTCGGCTGGCCCAGGACACAAGGGGCCCTACCGCAGAAGTGCTGGATGTCCCATAGCTGCTCCTGTCAACACCCCCCCACCCCCCGCTGAGACTCGGGTCTCTAAAACAAGGGGCACAAACTAAGTGCTGCGTTCTGTGGCTAAGCAGCCTCCTTCTGTTGATGGCTAAATGTTCCCTAAGTGTCACATCCCATTCTAACTACCAGACCAATAAGGGCCAGGCCTGAGAAAGAGTGGACAGATAGGTGGCACAGGGCCCTGGGCCTGGAATCAGGAAGACACGAGTTCAAATCCAGTCTCAGACGCCTAGTAGGTGTGTGATCCTAAGTCACTTAACCTCTGTAAAATGAAGATCAGCACCTATCTCACAGAGTTAGGAGGAACTGAGTTAGTGTCTATAAGCACTTAGCACGGTGCCTGGCACACAACAGGTCCCTCCCGCTCCCTCTCTTCCCCTCTAGGCCTCAGAGTGAGGCCCACAACAGCTACAGCCCTGGGAGACCTAGGCAGGCCCTTATAACCCCCTGGGGCCCCGACTTTTGGAGGTCTTCATCCATAAAGATCAGACCGCGTGGAGCCTTTGACAGACAGTCTTTGCCCACCTGTAATGGGCAAACCACATGGCCACTGGGAGTGTACAAGATCCCCAAGGCAGCTGCTCAATAAACCACTTTTTAAAAGCTGCTCACCTGTTACTGGGCCTAAGAGGCTACTCAACACATGACCCAGGGTCACACGTCACACAGTCCCCTTCAGCCATAACGGCCTCTTACGAACTGGGTAAAAAAAACAGCCTGTCTAACCAGGTGAGTAGGGCATGGGAGACTTCCATCATTTAATGGAAAAAGCCCATTCAAAATCGCGCCTGGGTCCCTCAAATGCTGTGCCCTCAAACAGGCTGTGACTCTGCCAGAAGCTGACCCTCCAGCCCCAGCCCCAACGACTGCCTCCTCCGCCAGGCCAACTGGCCTCTGACTCACCCACTCTGGCCCACCCACTAAAAAAGAAGCATGCACTACTGGACTGTGGCAGTCATTAGTCTAATAAGGGGATACCTTGGAGGATGGAGAATCTGGCAAAGTCTTCCCAGTGGGGTGTTGCAAATGACGTGGCTTCTAGGCAAAGAGCTCTCAGGGATAGGTCGGATAAAGTTTACATCTGTGCTGACTCCAAGTGGTCTGAGGCCAGGAGAGAACGGGACTAAACAATCAAAGGCCTTCTGGCCATGTCTCTCACTGAAAATAGCTGTCAGGGGCAGCTAGGTAGCACAGTGGATAGAGCACTGGCCCTGGATTCAGGAGGACCTGAGTTCAAATCCGGCCTCAGACACATAACACTTACTAGCTGTGTGACCCTGGGCAAGTCACTTAACCCTACTGCCTAGCCAAAAAAAGACAATAGCTGTCAATGGACACGTCAGCATCTATCAGAGATGTCACATGTCCCCATCCTGAACTAAACAACCAGGATGAAATGTCTGCAAGAACAGCAGAAGTTGAGACGTGTGTGCACTGCCCATGTGGACAAGGGGGTCGTGGCGCCATGTGCTGGATCCCCCTAAAGGATGAAGTAACTACTTAAAAATCTTTTTCAATCAATAAGCACTTTCTCCCTCCCCTTTCTTCACCCAACTGAATAAAATACATGTGTGTGTGCATGTGTATGTATAAAACCTTTGTAACAAATACACACAGCCAAGCAAATCAAATTCCTGCACTGGCCAGATCCAAGACCACCCATCTCAGCGTGCATCTTCAGTACATCACCTACCCACCTACTGGATCATGGTGCCTCTGGTCATCTAGATTCATGGCTTGTCATTCATGGCATTCCCCAACAGATGGGCACTCTACTGGTTTTCAGTTTTTGCTAATACAAAAAGAACTAAATGTTTTATTTTTGTACACATGTCTTTTTCACTTTTCTTCGACATCTTTGGGATGCAGGCCTAATAGTAACAGACCTGGGTCAGAGTATGCATAGTTTAGTGACTTTTGCAGCACAGTTCCAAACTGCTTTCCAGAACGGACAGGTCAAATTACAGCTCCACCAAGCATGCCTTAGTGAAAGCAGAGACTTATGCCCATGAGAGTACCCACCTTAGTACGAGACATTTGCCCCTCATAAGCAACAGCTCTGTCACCACACCCTAAGAGTACCAAGGCTGAGTGTCTCACCTCTGCAATGAATCAGTGCCACCCTAGGATGGGAAAGGGCTCTGTCCAGCAGTTTCTCAGCTCTATATTCCAGGAAGGCTTACAGATAAGGATGGGACTGCTTTTGGACATAGTTCTGACTGATTCTCTTTGGCCCTTCTTTATTCCATCTCCAAGCTTCCAGGTTCCTGTTGCCTTGGAGAGCTCACTGCACCATGGGAAAAGAGCTCAGAGCATCCTCAACCAGTAAGTCTTCTTTCCCCTGAGAGGGTTCAGACAACTCCTTCCCAGAAAGGGCTTGGGGGACCAAGGGGTGCCTTACTTTTTTTTTTTAAATAAGGGTAGATAAAACTGCTTCTGCATAACTATGGTGAACACACATTTGCCCAGAATTCCCTAAATGACCTGGTAGTAATCTTGAGCTCCTGGATGAAGGTAAGAGAAGAGCCTTATCCCAGCCCTAGGGAATGAAAGGAGCAGCCTCTCAGAAAACGCCTCTAAAGGGGCAGATATTGAGTATTAACTGCTCCTGACCTTCCCGGGAGAGGGATGTTCTAGCTGGTGGGCTGAAAAACACAAAGGGGAAGCCTTGGCACACAAAGTAGTATAACCTCATGGGTACTTTAGTCCAGGTGGCTGAACCATGATGAAGAAACAGTGACTGGGTCTGAAGTGCTCTAACATTCCTACTCATGCTTTTACTCAGAGTTGGCACTTTACATCGGAAGATACATTGGGAAGTGAAAAGTTTTGTCACATCCCACCAAGTGGACTTGATCACTGAGATCTGGACTCAGCTTTGGAGGCTGAGGATGGGAGAAAGCAGAAACCTAGGATTTCTGGTCTTCATTCTCTTCCAGACTCAGTCAATCTAGGAAGGGGCCACTCAACTGACTTCCTTTTGTTTTTTTTTCTCATTTTTGTTATTGCTATCCTCCTGGCTGAGTTTTTTCCCCTGCTCCAGTGCTGCTCATGTCTCCAAGATTAGGCTGGTCTCATTACAATCCTAATGGTAGAAAGTTTTTTAGACCAGTGGTGCCAAACTCAAACAGAAATGGGGCCCACTAAACTGTAGAGAAGGATCCCTGTGGCCCACATAATGACTTAGAAAACCACATATGAATATCATCCGTGTTCTAGTGCATTTTTATGTATTTTGTTAAATATTTCCCAATTGTATTTTAATTTCTGCTCTAGGAGACCTCTACGACCTCGTCACCAAGGAATGCAATATGGCTGAAACAACGGCCACCAGGGTCTCCCACCAAGTAGATTAGTGCAGCTCTTTAGCCAAAAGAAAGTCATCCCAGAGACACGAGGGCACAGATAGCCACGCACAGCCAGTCCCTCAGAAGTGGAAGGTAACTCCTGGTCTCATGAGTCACTCTGGAGACAATGGGAGACTTACCTAACCAAATCAATGGCTGTACTCTCACTGAATATCCTTTCCAGGTTACGGCTAAGTAAACTTCTTTTTGTTAAATGCGAAATATTCCATGAGCATCTTACTTCGTAACAATCTACCAGAGCAAGCCGTGTAAGGCCTGGAGGTCACTGCCATAGTTCAGGCATAAGAAAAAGGAAGTTGGCTACAAGAACCGAAAGATAAAGGGAGACGTGTCACTGCAAAGGAAAAAAGACTGTGACTGGATGCTGGTGGCAAGGGAGTGGGAAGACAAAAAAGAGGTTCAGCGTTCCAGTGTGGGTGACGAGCACCACGCAGCTGGGGAGATCACCCAGTACAACTGCCTCATTTGAAAGAGGAAGACCCTGAAGCCCAGTGTGGTTCCGTGGCTTCCCCAAGTCTGTCCCAAGCACTAGGCAGCAGAGGCAAGGGCAGACGGGGCCTCCGTCAGAGGACCTGGAGAGCTGGCCTCAGAGTGCGTCTGGTCCAGCCCCTTTATTTTACAGGAAAGGGAAGCACAGACCCAGAGACCGGCACTTTACCGCCAGGCAGGCAGCAGGCAGCAGAGGCAGGCTCCAAACCCAAGCCTTCTGGCCTCCATCCAGCGCTCCTTCCACTACGCTACAGAGCCAGAGCACAACCCTAAACAGAAATAGCAAAGTCAGGAGAAGAGGGCAGACCTTTCAGGGAGGAAAAGGTGATGACTCTGATTTTCAGCAAAATTAATTTGGGGAGATAAAGAATCATCACGTCAGCACCACAAACTTGCCGTGGCTGGTAACAGAGAAAGGTCTTTAAGCTCAGGATGCAGAGGGAGAACAGGAAGTAAACAGATCTATATGTGGTGGGAAAGCCACGCCCACCTCGAATTACAGTCAGCGGAACTGGCTGTAACCCGAAGAACACGAGGAACGCCAAAGTCCAAGCACACAGCGAGGGGAAAGACGGCTGATCTCTAAGAACCAGGTGACGGCGGTGATGGAACCTAGCCCTCTGCCTCAGCAAAGATGAGATGCGCTATCACTTCTCTTGAGACCAAAGGAACTGAGGAATTCTCCTGTTTCAATGTGTTATGGATCCCTCCCCACCAAGTGGTCAGCCAAGGAAAACATGTCCTGTCCGTACGTTCACAAGAGGGCAGGGACGCCGAAGGGCTCTAGCTAGTGGGTGGTCAATATTCACATGACAGGAAACGTTCAACACTTGATGCGGCTGGATCAGAGACCTGAGTTTGAATTCAGACTCTGCCCGTGTGACTCAGGAGTGGGCGGCGCAACTCTGCTGAGGCCCCTCTCAGCCTCTGAATCAATGAACCCAGAAAAGAAAACAAGGAACTGGACACAACCAGTCAGATTTCTGAATTAAAGCTGCTGCTGAAGAGTGGTCCCCCACACCAGGCTCCTTAGTACGGGCTGGGCATCAAGACATGAGTGCCATTCTCAGATCTGATATCAACTGGAGGAGGTGGAGAGAAAGAGATGGGGGGAGGGAAAGAGGGATGAAATAAGACACACACATGCTAGGCTTCTTTCAGAAACTCTGAAATGAAGGGACTGGAGTACATCTAATAGTCCTTCTTCCAGATTTGAAAACCCATACATGCTACACTGTATTTTCTCTTTCTGTCTGTCTGTCTGTCTGTCTGTCTCTCTCTCTCTCTCTCTCTCTCTCTCTCTCTCTCTCTCTCGGCAACTGGGGTTAAGTGACCTGCTCAGGGTCACACAGCTAGTAAGTGTCATATGTCTGAGGCTGGATTTGAACTCAGGTCCTCCTGACTCCAAGGCCGGAGCTTTATCCACTGTGCCAGCTAGCTGCCCCATCACTGTATACTTTCTTCAGCTGGCTAATGTACATCTCCATTCCCAATAGAACTGCTTTGACCACAATCAATAATTTTGACACTGATTCTGCTTTTCACATCCATTTCACCTAAAAGGCAAGGATCTCAATTACAAAGTACACTATGATACTGTAATGGGTCCATAACCTCCTCGGTGAGGCCATTCCCTCCACTCATGCGAGGTGAAATTCTGCCATGGCTTTCTCCAAAATACTTCACTGCGGTATAGAGACAACACTGGTTTTTGGACGTTATGTTAACAGAGTGCTCACAGATTCCACAGCACCAGGCTGGAAAGGCTTTAAGTAGAATGCTGGCAAAAGGTTTTATCTGCTAGTGAAGGCTTATCCTGAGTAAGACTGATTCATTACCAAACTATTGGTCATTAGGTGAGTAAGACTAGACTACAGAGAAAGAGAAGAGGGGCCACTGAACCCAGGACAGAATGTATTAAATGAAAGTAAATATCTGCTTCAAGAAAAAATAGACATTCCATACTATTAGAGGAGAGAAAATTCTCTTCACGTCAACTCTAGAAGGCTTGAGTTTTCTTCTATTTCATACTTAAGTATTTTAGTCCTCTGAGCTAAAAGAGCGGAGATACTATTAATAAGCTTGTAGGTGCCTGAGATGATTCTAAACAAGTTTAGTATCATGAGTCATCGATGAATGTTCTGAAAGCCTCCTTCCTTTCTCCTCCCCACCCAAATCATCTTCTTTGTCAATGTATTACTTTTCTGGTAAAATAAGTGAATAAGCAAAAAGAACTTGGGAAGGGGACCCAAAAGCAGAGGAGGCGGCGCCATGGTCTGAAATTGAACATGCCCTTTACAAAAAGTACTCAATGAGACTCCTCCTTTCATGCAGACTTCTTATTCTCTATTTCTTGTACATGGAAACATCCATATTTGTTAATGTTTGTTAAGTTCATAATAAAAAAGAAAAATTTTTTAATTCAATAAAAAAGAAAGTGAGTGAACAGGTACTATTCAAAACTGTAAGAAAGGAAATAGAGTAAGCAGAGAAAGTCAGTGTCCTGGAATTTAACAGTCAACACTCAGATGTCATGGAGTAAACTGTAAAAACCTATCAGGCACATTACCTAATAACATCAGGTATGTTCCTTCATTTAAAAGATAGTTAAGAAACACAGGAACCATCACTTTGAAGAATGGTACGGGCTGCAGCCTTTGTAAAAGTGTTTCGGGAACGGTGTTGGCCTGGACTTTCGTTTCCTCCGCAAGCTATGCCACAGCTCTCAGATGCTTCATTTCTTTGTGCAATTTCTTCTGTAACAACTATTCATAATAGAAAATACCTATATCCAAGAGTGAAGTATTCTTAAACACATTGTTTTGAAGGGAAACACACACAAGAATAGAAAACACGCATACAATCAATAAAGTAAAAAAGTTTTCTCCCCACAATGACCTTAATTAAAAGCAAAAAGATCTCATTTTTGAGTTAACAAGACTGGCAGCTTAAACATTATAGGAACAGCAATCTGGGGCTCTACTGCTAACTTACCAGGCACACGTTCGGCTGTTCAGTTGTTTAAGTCATGTCTGACTCCTCGTGACCCCATTTGGGTCTAAGGATGGATTCAAACTCAGGACGGTGAGTCTTCCTGACTACAGGCCCAGCATTCTATCCACCGTACCACCTAGCTGTCCTGGCACTTAGTAAGTACCTAACAAATGCGAGGCAGCTAGGTGGCACAGTGGATAAAGTGCTGAGCTTGGAATCTGGAAGACCTGAGTTCACATCTGGCCTCAGACACACACTAGCTGTGTGACCCTTGGCATATCACTTAATGCTGCTTACCTCAGTTTTCTAATCTGTAAAATGAGCTGGAGCAGGAAATTGCCAACTACTCCAGCATCTTTGCCCAGAAAAGCCCAAATGAGATCACAAAAACGGGGACACAACTGAACAACAGCATTAAATGCCGATGGACTGATTGATTCTAAGTCACCAAACCTCTCTGACCCTGCTTCTTTGTCTATAACAGAGGGACAACACAAGGCTCTCGTGAGGCTCAAGACGTTGTACACGAATGACATACCATACAATTTAAAGAAAGATGAGTGTTATCCACAGATCACACATTCTGCCTAGCTCACACCTTTTTTACTTGACTTCACATAGTAAATTTTAGCATGTCTACATAACTACTCAATTTGCCTATTATTCTTCATCTGTTTTGAGCCAAACTATGCCAAAAATTTGGGAAGAAAAATGAGTCCGTGATCCAAATTATTCTAACTTCTCTTGTTTAGCAAAGTCATTCATACATTCCATAAGAAAAACTGCTAAAAGCAGACTTTTGAGGGCAAATGTCCATCTATTCTTGGCATCAGCACATGACCTGAGCTCAAGGCCCTGACTCCCCTGCCCTTCCTTTCCGTCCCCTGAAAGAAACAGCAGCTGTTGGAAAAGGCTCCTTTCCCCAGAGTAGTGACGATCCAGTACACACAGAAAAGCCCTCCACTTGCTGCCTTAACAACAAACCAAAATGAAGAACTGCTGGAAACTACAGAAAATACGGACCAGTAAAAGGAAAAGAGGAAAAGAGCAACAGCAAAGAATGCAGAAGGCTGGGAAAAGAGCAGAGAGGGAAGGACAACTACAGAAGAGAGGCATGGTCATACAAAAATAGCATAAGAGAAGCAGTAACACTCTGGATGAGGTGAGGCTGCAATAAAGTACTTGGCCCACAAGGGCTTTCACAGACATATGTTCAAGGAAAAGGGAAATCAAAGGACAGGCTAATAACTGATCCTGTGAGTCAGCACAGAGCAGTGGCAATGGCACCGAGTCCCAAGTCAAAGGACCCTGGATTCAAATTCTGCCTCTGACACTACTTGTGTGCATTTGGGTAAAGCGTTTAACCTCCTGGGCCTCAAAGGCCAACGAGAAGGATGGACTAAAAGATCTCTAAAATCCTTTCCACTCTACGGTGACGACAGAGAGAAGACATCTATATTTTTCTCACAAGGAACAAGAGATTCATGGGGGAAAGATACGACCAAAATAGCTAAGAGAGCTAAAACTCAAGATAAACCAAGTGATGGTCGAGTTACCAGGCCCTGCTCAGATGAATTACTTCTTGGGGTACTTAAAAAAAAGATTAGCATCTCTAGGTATTACTGAGTCACCACTGGTGATACAGAAAAAGAGAGGCACTAAAAGGTCTGAAAAGGGCCAAATCCCCAACTTTCAAAGAAAAAAGAGTGGATTATGTA